ATTTAAAGTGGTAGTAAATATATACTATTTTTTCTTTTATAATCTTAATTTTTAAATGATTTTGATCACCACTATTCTTACAAAAATTAAGGACATATATCAATATGCATTACTATCATGGTTGTCAACTCACGTTTTCTCAAATACAACGTATTTGTTTGCTTAAAATTGAAGTTTTAATTCCATTTTAATACCACTGGGAAAAATGATAAAGGAAAGGATTAAAAGTTGGCAGGTATGCTGTAGATATCCGTTCATGTAACTTAATAGGCACTTATCAGAGATGCCAACTTGCTCCGGACAGAGAATAAATATTTTCGAGTGGTAGTTTATTAATTGCGATTCTTGGTTTAATAAATTCAATTTATTAGGTTTATGTACACCACTATTTCTAAAGAATTCGAAGGCTTATATAATTCACCACTTNTATTTGAGGTCACTCCCTTGAACCATTAAGATTGAGTCCTAGAACGTGAAGATCCGATCATTAAATTAAAAGTTATTCAGAGTGGTCCGTTTTTTTTCTCTTCGGGGCACTGTAGATATCCGTTCATGTAACTTAATAGGCACTTATTTCTATTTCCTGTGAGATTGTCTCCAACACATATTTTTACTAACGGTAGATAATTAATATGAAATTTTTAAGGCGAGTACAATTTAAATAAATTTTTTATCTAAACTTGAAAATATGCCTATTGGACTAATTTACGTTTTACATATGTGTTTAAGTTATTTATAAGTAAAGGTGGACTAATTCTTTTAATACTAATTTATTAAAATATTTATACATTACCTTAGCTTTTTATTTTCGGAAATTTAGGAAATTCCGTATTAACTGGAGGATAAGACTTTGGCTTTGAAAAAGATCAAATTATAAATGTTTAGATTATTTATAGATTTTAATCATCGTTAAGGCTAAAATGGCGAAGAAATACCCGAAAGAAGCACTCAAAGTTGCAAAAGCTTTCGAAGAAATCGGAGTTTCGGATGAAATTTAGTGTAAAGTTTACAAATAAAAATGATAGTTTCAACACATCCCATTTTAATTTCGTAGTAGATGCAGAGTGGTCCGTGCGGTATTTTTTACTACAAGTTTAACAGTTTGTATTTATCTAACTAATTATCATGTTTTCATTTCATTCTCCATGCATTTTTCTGTAAGCTTTCATATTTTCTAATTTCTAAATTTTATAGTTATAGCACAGCAAATTAAAACGTTACATAAAATTGAACATCAAAAACGACGATAATTCTTGCTTTTTTTTCTTCTTTTTTTACACGAAGAGATATATTGTTTGTAATAACGTTTTTTCCCTTCATTTCTTACTAGAAGTACGCAAGTATATTCTAAAAATTGTATTTGCTAAAAGATTGAAACTGCTATAAATATCTCGTATCTGGTTCAACTAATAAAGTTTAAGGTTAATCGCTACATTAATATCGTATATTAAATTAATTTATTCAACTTCTAAGAGGTAGAATCGTTTTAAAAACACGAAATGGAAAAATTATTAAACTTGATCTGAGAGAAGTCATGAAAATAAACCCAATTTCTAAAATTAGAAATTTTGTTTTAATAGATAACATTAAAACATCATCTTTTTAATATGGCAGCTTTCAATTTCATTTTATTTAGAGCAATAACTGTAACTGTCAATTTTCCCCTCCAAACCATGATTGCAGAGATTTATCGTTACAATATTTTTTTTCTTTCTGAAACTGAGATCTTCTAACATTATTGGATACCCAATGGTAAATGACGGCATGTAAGAAATCAAACAAATAAAATTAGTCAATAAAGCCGTTAAAACTTTGATATTGGTCGAGCATCGTGACCCAAATCAAACAGATTTAGCTGTCTTGTTTATCTCACCTAATTTCCGGGTTTAGAAAGAAAGAAAAAAAGCGTTTAAACATACGAATAGTCTATAAATTGAGCTGCTCTTCAAGATCAAGCCTAAGGCTCAAAGCTTCAGGTCGTCATTTTAAGAGAGAGAGAAAGAAGTAACATTTATCGGTAAACAAAGTAAAATCGCTGAAAAGCTAGTTTTTCTTCGTGTTTGTTTAGGCAATCGACTTAACCATTTGCCTTTACGGGAGCCATTACTTTTAAATGCATTTTTGTAAGAGCTGTCTTTAAGAAAGTTGCAGTTTTTTTCATACTTTTAGAAAGTAATTTTTATTTGGATAACTACAATAATTCACTTGAACTATGCTCTTTGGAACATTATAAAAATCATTTTCTACACTTTCAATTTGTTCCCTGTTTTAATTTTGATGCAATGCTATTTTTTTGTATAATTTTTTTTTCTTCAATATTCATAGAACTGAGGAAAATGCTAAAAATATAAAACTTTTTTTAAAATAAAAAAAAAAAACTTTTAGCGAAAAGGAGGATTGTTGGATGTAAGCTTTTAGAGTTGTTATCAACCTTAACGTTTAAATCTACACGTAATTCCTAAATTTAACTAAACTTTGAAACTTAATTTTGCATTCTACGAGCAAGATACTTTTGAATGATAATGAACCGTCGAATGGTAAGTTATTTACGTCACACTAGAGCTGTACAATGGGTTATTGGCGACAGTCTGGGAAACATCCCTGAGTATGATCTGAAGACATGCCATCACAATATTGATCCCCTGCCTACGAGTGAAGTCGATCACTTTAAGGTGAAACCGATCGAGGTTCGAGGATGATACTGCGCACCCTCTGTCCCTACGCAGGCTGATCAAAGTGGTCACCCATCCGCTTATACTTTGTCTAAGCTAAGAACTCCTCCCGCCACAAAGTCTGAGGCCGTCTGGTGCTATGGAAACAAGAATGGCTCCTTTTAGGGAGGGTAGCTTCACTCTAGGAACAATAGAAAAAGATTCCCTTTCTCTCGACGACCCGACCCGAAACCACTCCAAAACAGTGACTCCGTATCCCTACTTGAAGTAGTCATACCTCGTTGCCATAGTCACCGCAACAGTTCCAGACGAATGTCTGGAGGAATTCTTATTTTAAACAAACTATACTGACCGAAGCCAGTGATGCTTTACAGATTTTCGATCGCTTTGCCAACTTTTTAAAAAGTTCGCCATGATTTAGTTGCAACTAAGTAATTATTTAGAAGAAGTAGTGAGTAAAAACCCCATGAATCGAATTTACTAAACCAAGTGGTTAACTGAACCACTGGAACAAAGTGGCTTTTTATATGAGCTTTTAAATCAAATAAATTTATACGGTAAATAACTTTTGTTGCAAATAACTTTAAATCAAATGTAATGACCAAGGAATCATACATTAAGCCTTCATTGCGTCCCTTTGCATATCTGCAAAGCTAATGTTTAAATTGTAGCTTATCACCAGGATTTTTAAAGTGAATACTAAGTGTCGAGTGACTCTCGAGTGAATACTAAGAGTCTCCACTCCTCTGGTACTTAGGAAATGGTAGAAAGGCGTTTATACATTTCAGTTCATTATGCATTACGTTAATATGTTTTTTTTTCTCTTAAATGTTATTCTCAAAGGAGCAGACAAGTGTATATTAGTGAATATAAACCTACTTGCTCTTTATAAACTTGCAAGCAAAAAATAAACTAAACCAAAAATGTTTTTTAAAAAAAAGAACATCTAGATGAAAATTTCACTCAAAACTTAGAAAACTGGCAGCCCAGTTATTACAAATGTTAGTATTTAGGAGTACAGTAGTATTTCAAATTCAAGTTATAACTTAAGCGAAAAGTTTGCTCCAGCTTTAATAAACTTTAGTTCACTGCGTAAATTTCAGATTCAAGTAGAAATTTAAACCAAAAGTTTGCACCAGCTTTAATAAACTTTAGTTCACTGCGTAAATTTCAGATTCAAGTAGAAATTTAAGCGAAAAGTTTGCACCAGCTTTAATAAACTTTAGTCTACGGTGAAAATTTTAGTTTCAAGCAGTGTAATATTTCCCGTTCAATAACAAAACAAATGATACATAACGCAGCTATTTGTTTTACGACACTGATACGAAACGATCAGAAATTTTATTACAAAAATATAATTGTTTTTTTGAAGATTTCTCTTTTTGTAATTTAAAATATAGTAAATTGACATTAAAAGGAAGAAAGATTTTCAAAATATATTTTATTAACATTTTTTAAAATTTATCAAATATTCAAGTTCAGTATTTTTCATTTTCTTAACTCTTTGCACTTCTTCTTTTCTTAACTTCGGAAATGAGTTTTGTTTGGAAAATTTTACCTTTAACGCGGAAAAAGACACCTGTTTTTCATAGCCATACATTATTAAAATACTAAATATAATAATTTTTACTCATTTTGTTCTAAATGAACACAAAATTATGAAAACAGTATGATAAATATGTTTAATTATAGGGTTTGTACGAAACTGGAAAAAATAAATAACTTTCATCAATTTTTCTATAAAGAAGCTGAAAATTTCTTAATCTTAGCTACCACTATCGAATTAAAATTCCGTATCGGCCATCTTCGGATCAATATATGTATACTTGAAGAAAATAAAATATTCTGGTAGCTACAAACGAAATAATAAAAAAAAAATTTATCGTAATATTACTAGAGCTTTTTAATTTTTTTCAGGTGTTTGAACCCTGAATAAAAATTCAGCGTCAAAAAGTTAATGTAAAAAGTTAAAAGAAAATAAATATTTTTTTTTATTCCCCTGTTCTTTTTTTGCAAAATGAACCTCAGCTGAGTTGTTTATACCCCAGAAAAGAGAAAATACTTGCAGCAAAACCATTTTATTTCTAGTGTGTTTCTGAAAGAAATAATGGCTACCAAGACTTACTAAAAGTTATTCTTTGTTTCGGGAAACATTCCTGTTTAGACGTTGTAAATGCTAATAAGTCTTGGTAACCAGGTTTCTTTTTCACTTAATATATATTCATTATTCAATATTTTTCACTTGTTACAAAATAATGAAAGTATGAAACGCATGTTTAATATAAATTCTACGTCAAAGGGTTAACAGTCTTTTCTCGTTTGTTTCAGAAAATATATACAAACAGACAGTAGATTTCGACAATACTACAACGTATGTTGAAATACTAGATGCATCTCAATGTGAGGTAAGTACACTCCTTATTACAATAAATGTCAGTTTTCTTTTTTAACCCCTTCCCTGATTGTCCCGAGTTTACTCGGGTATATATAGATTGGAAATATTTAACATCCCGAGAAAACTCGGGTGTTGCAGAATTTGTCAGTACGTTTTGTTTTATCACGTTTTTACTCGGAAGAAAGCATTAAAGAAATATAATCTATTATATATAATTCTCTTACGTGGCTCCCAAATTTTGGCTGTATTTCTTTTCCACCGGTGGCAACGTTTGGTTTGTTTTGTTTTGAAAACACCAAAGCATTCTGCCTTTTAATGANCTCGCGAGCCACCTGCGGCTCTTTGAAAGATTATTTGCGGCTCTCGATAAATGTACCCGAGTTCCCTTTTCATTTTTGTGTTATTAAATTTAATATTTTTCTGAATCCATATGAAATTAACATAATTCAAGGTGAGTGTTTTCCGTTTCCAATATAATTATGACCCGAAAAGCATCTGAAGAATTAGAATTAATAGAGATGCTAGACGATCAAAGCTCTACAATTAAAATATAAGTCGACGTCGATTACTGAATTTTAGAAATTTGTACCAGAATCGAAGTATCCTGAATTAAAAAAGGCTGCTTGTCGAATTATTTCAATATTCGGAACAACATACCTGTACGTATGTGAATCATTTTATTCCACTTTAAAATTCATGAAATCCAAACACCTATCAGTATTAACTGACCAGCATCTCTAAGAATTACTGAGAAGTACTGTCACCAATTATTCACCAAATTTTAAAGAATTATCAAGAGAAGTAAAATAAATGTGTTTAATAATTAAATCCAATACATATATTTTGTACTTTTATTTACATGCTTTCAATAAATATAATTTCTGTAAAAAAATTTTTTTAATACCTTTTAAATACGTATTTAATTGCGGCTCGCGAAAAAATTCAAATTTTGAAAAATGGCTCGACTATCAAGGAGCTTGGCCACCCCTGGTATAGTATATACCAGGTTGATTCTAATGCCAACTTTTCCATAGTTAAAAAGCTATTAGCAAGTAATTGAGTACTTGTCAGAAATTTTTAGTTTTTTTAAAAAAAAGTGTATTTTTTTCTAAATGTTTTTGTTTTGTTAAATGTTTCATTATTAAATAAGAAAGAAAGAAAAAAAAGAAGGTCGGAGCAGCCAACCAACTTTTCCTAAACAAAAAAAAAAAAAAAAAAGGTAACAAAATTTATGATTTGCATAGTGAAATTAATAGTTTAGTAATTAGATTTAAAGTATATGAAAGTTATGTACAAAGAACATGATGATCATGCATAATGAAACATAATACATCTTTTATGCAAAGTTGTTTGGTACTCCCAGGGCCGGATTAACCTATAGGCACACTAGGCACGTGCCTAGGGCCTACGAAAATCAGGGGCCTACGAAAAACTTCGGAGAAAAAAATTTGTTGACAAAAATAATTTAGCTTTAAAAACAACAAGTGTATTTTGCACAAAATTATGAAGATACAAATAAAAATATAATATTTTTCGGTAATAAATTATTTTGCAGAATCTTATGATCTAATATATTACTTTTTTGCGATTTTTGGATTCAACGAAATCTTGTATTATGCTGTCGAATTCCAAACTACGCAAAATGTCTGATTGGATAGACATAAGTGCGAGCGATGCCAAGCGATCTTCATTCATTGTTGAAAGCAAATAATTTTTTNNNAACTTATAGTTGTTCTGCTTCTGAACACTGATGAAAACACAAAATGATGGGCTTCATCAACAATCAAAAATATATACATTTATTTTACAAATTCCATATTATTAGGGTGGCGCCCTTCTGAGAATTAAAAATACAAAATTATCTTCATCAAAGCCGATGCTTTACATCCGCCCTTCAGTGGCAGACTACTATTTCATATTGTTTTACAACACATGGATGTAGCCCTCTGGTGGAAAAGACTTTAAAACAAAACTTACAACAGTTACTTTTCTCAACAACTGAAATTTAGAATAGTGTGATTAAGAAAAATATGTGAACTGTTTGCAATTTCAAATTAATATTGAAATGTACAGGTTTAGAATTTTCTACAGTGAAAGGTTTTCGGAACTTCAGTATTCAAAAAAGTATACAAAAACTAGACGTTAAGAACGTATCCAATGAGCGAGCAAAGCGAGCATTGGATTGCGAAGCAATCCGAAATGAACTGTGAAAGCAGTTCCGGGGATTGGTGAGCGCCAGCGAGAAGGGGGCGAAGCGTCCTAGTATTAGTAATAATCCGTTTTATTGGAAATTTGCGAAGTTTAGTTTGGGAGTTTTGCTTTTGGATTGTGGGACTGCACACGTGTTTTGTGTGATAGTATATTAATGGCTGCTGAATTTACATTAGAAAAAAAAAAAAAAGAGTTAAAAAAATGGCGTATCACTTTGTGTTGTCCCTTGTTTTAAAAGCTATCATACTAAGACTAATATTTAACTTTTTTCATTTTCCCGAGATAACTCAGGATAGTAAATTAAATGTGTTTTAGAAAAAAAAAAAAAAATTTCAACTTAAAACTTGTGCATTATGCTTTGTTTTAGTTCTTTGTATTTATTAAAACAAAATATAAAAATATGTCGATTTTTTTGCATTTTTTAAAAAAAAATTGGAAAGAGAAGCGGTTAAGGTAATATAGCATTTTTTTTAAATAATAAAAAATAATGAAATAAAATGCAAGGCGAATAAAAAATTGAATCTTTCAAACAACCATTAATGTCTGCATATGATTATTTAAAAAAAAAAATGCACTACATTATAAAACAGCTAAATCAAATTAGTCAACTTTTCTATATTTAAAAAGCTGTTAGAAAGTAATTGAGTACTTATCAGACATTTTTAGTTTTTTAAAAAAAGTGGATTTTTTTTCTATTTTTGTTTGTTTCGTGTTTTATTATATAAAAAAAAAGATCTGAGCAGCCAACCAACTTTCTTGCCTTTTAATCAGAGACTTTTCCTAAACAATAAAAAGGTAACAAAATTTATGATTTGCTTTTGATTACTAGTATAGTAATTAGATTTAAAATAATTGAAAGAGTTATGTACAAAGAACGTGATCATAATGTATAATGAAACATGATGCACCTTTTATGCAAAATTGTTTGGTACTCCTCATTATTTAAGGAATAAAAAAAACGCTTTGTTAACTGTCAATATTTTAACAGTAATCAAATTTAACATTTTTTTAATAAATTGCGGACTACATAATAGATAAAAACTCAATTTTTTCGATTGACGAAAAGGATTAAGTTATTATTTCAAGTGTTTGTATCTTCACAATTTCATTTTATGCAAGTTTTTCTCAAATTTTAATATTTCTTCTTATCAAAGAATCTTTAATATGCTTTAATACATATTTCCGAAAGAAACATCTTTACGGTATGATGCAGACTATGTCTGTGAAACTGAGTATAGTATACTCAAGATATCTCGAAAACCTTATGTCAAAAAAATATTTTTTCCTTTGGCATTATATATCCACCTAATATTAATTTGAATTCCTATGTCGATGGGTTTCTTCTCAAAACCTTGTGAAGTCGATTTTTTTTCGAAATAGAAAATGAATTTTTTGCGGAGAAATCACAGTGTAAGTTTATCGTGAAACCAATTCTTTCTATTTAATGCATCATTGATTTTGTTTTACTTTTAAAAATAAAATTATAATTGTTGTATTTAGATATTATAAACAAATTTATTAGTAGTTATTCTTATGTTTTATGACTCTAATTCTAAAAGTAACGTTTTAGAATATATTTTCTACTTTTTAGAACATATTTAGCTCCGAACTTGCTATCTCGAATTTTTCTTAGCGTAACTTCAACTTTGAGAGTATACAGTATTTGTGCGTGTATATTTATATTGCATGCAATAGGCATAACCCAAATACATTTTTATTCATATTTTCCCTTTATTTTTATTGTTTAGTATTAATAGTGCAAATTTTAAGCACTTTATTCGTTAGTCCATCTTTATGCAGGGTTCGAAATTAATGATAGTCAGAGATCACTAAAATTCTTTAATCAAAAACTTACATTCTTCGACAAATGTAGAACACTCTATTCGTTAGTCCATATTTATGCAGGGCTCGAAATTAATGATAGTCAGAGATCATTAATATTCTTTAATCAAAAACTTACATTCTTCGACAAATGTAGAACACTTTATTCGTTAGTCCATCTTTATACAGGGTTCGAAATTAACGGTTATCAGAGATTACTAAAATTAAATATCTTTTCAAAAACTTACATTATTCTGCAAATGTAACGCACTTCGTTAGTTCATCTTAAAGCAAGGCTCGATATTAACGGTATTTTCAGAGTATAATATGTAACGTGTCCGAGATCACTAAAATTTGACTCAGATCATCTCACAATAATCAGTGGTTCTAAAACCAGCAGTTGATGCTAAGTGATGTTTTGATTTTTCAGTTTTGGTCCGAGTTATATTTGCATATTTCTTCATAATTGTGAAGATTACGCTATATACGTATTGTAACTTTTAATTTAAATTCATTTTATTATCTTTTTTGAACTAAAAATTTATTAAAGTCGAATAAACGGACCATTAGTGAAAATGTGTACGTCCAGCAGAACAGCGATTAAATTATTTTAATTTATACCTCTACTATTGATATGTATTTTATGCTGCAATACTGCCGAGTAATTCAAAAAACAACGTAAGTACTTCTGGATTGATTCCGAGAAAAGTGGATTGACAACTATTTTCGCTCCATGGCTAATGCTATGAATGGTAAAATAGAATTTTAAAAAACTGATAAAACAAAATGTATTTTTTATTTAGTTGCAATATGTAGCTTACCATACAAAGATGCCAAATACATAAAAATCTCAATTTCGATTTTTTTTTTGTCGCTTACATTGATTTTTCAATGGCACGTCAGAATACACGTGATTTGATATCAAGGATTTTTTTTCTTTCTTTCAGAGTCACTGTTGCTTACAAGACCACATCGATTGGGCGGATGCGTTTGTGGTTGTTTACAGCGTATGCGACAGATCATCCTTTGAAAAAGCACGCAAAGTCTTGGAGTCGGTGACACTAAGTAAAGGAGCCCTAAGGGCTCCTGCCATCCTCCTGGGCAACAAGAGAGACCTTGAACGTGGCAGGCAAGTTGCAGTGGATGATGGACACGAAGCCTCTCTCCAATACAGGTGCCAATTCTATGAGGTGTCGGCTGCAGAAAACTTCGTGGGCGTCAGCCTAGCTTTTCAGTCTTTGATACGAGAGGCAACAGCAGCCCAGCAGTTAAGGACTTTGCCAGTAAGAAGGAAAACTGGACCAGCATTGTCAAAAATGATTGGCATGGTATTTGGGAGAGGTGAGAAAAAATCCTCATCATTTCGGAAAAAGAGACCATCGCTGTCCATTTGATAATGAAAAGAAAACAATCAGTTGGAAAACTTACATTCCTTCATGTGAAAATTGTTAACACCTTATTATGAAAGTGACTTTTTAAGGTGATGATGATTAACATATTGTTCCTGTCATTTATTCTTTCAGCAGAAAAAAAGAGACTGCTCATCATTCAATGATTCGTCAGTGGTGATAATAAAAACTGTTGCAACTGATAACTAGGCATCACTTTTAAAATGCATAATGTTATTTTTATAAAAAGCATCGCTATGTTGACTTTCATTTGAAATGTTTAAGGGAGCTACTTGTGATTGAGTTAAAGACTTTTTTATTCCAAAACATAAATAAAATTGGTGAAATAAACTGGTCTCAGAATGATTAATTTCCATTTTAAAATTTGTTTCAACATTAGTAAAGCATTTTTTTAAAAAAATAAATACATTTTTATGGATATGTTAACTAAACAAAGTAGATTTTGTGATGAAAAAAAAGATAAGGCAGCTTTCAGGTTACTAGAAGTTTCGATTTATTTTCAGGCCAATAAAGCCTATAATTTACAAAAACGTTCCAGCTTTTAAAAGTTATACTCTTTTTTTGTTAAGTCAGGGTTGCCACTCAAATTGGCTAAAAAAAAAAAAAAACCTTTTCCCTGTGCATATTACACACACTATATTAAAATTAAACACACGATCACAGTGCTCATGTCCGAGCTATATTAGGATAATTATGCTAGTTACATTGCTAGAAACATTTAGAGAAATAAGGAACTGTACAACATACTTAAAAAAGAATAAATAAATACTATATTAAAGGAAATAGTAAAATTCAGCTGAACTATCGTTGAATATCCCACAGATTGCACTTTGAGAGATGGAAATTTTTTCAAAAGAAAAAAAAATTTCCTGTAATTTCCAAGTTTATAAGGAATATTAGCCGTAATTTTAAAGGATTTTTAAATTTGTTATATTTGCCAAGTTTTCCCTGTGGAATAGCAACCCTGTAATTTATTCCTTTGAAGTTTATTGTTTTTCTGTATTCTTCAATATTTAGAATGAAAGAACAAAATAATCACATGAAGAAAAAGTTTAATTAATGTTTAAACAAATAAATAGCTCAAGTAGATATTAACACTCAAAAGAAAGTCAGTCATTTTTTTTTTTTTAATTTCATGATTATTTCTGATATTTTTAGTGCAAATAATACTTCCAACTTGATTAAATGCATAAAGTTTGGAAAAATCTTACAATAGGCAATATTGGATAAAGTTTAAAAATTTAACTGATTAAAAAAAACTTAAGAGAATATAGCTTGTTTGCACCTGGACTTGTAAATAAAACCGTCACAAAAAGGAATATACTGAAAGCTTGTTAAATTTCTAATGTCTGCAATGAAATAGTTTTATAAAAAGTAGAATTAAGAAAAATTTGATTGGATTTAATGATTCCCCCCCCCCAAGTATTTATCAAAGCTCTGATAAAATGTATTAATAATGCTCAGCAACATTTAAAACAATATTAATCTAAAATACTTAAATTTTTCTAACAAAAATCATTACACACTAATCACTGAAAACTAAAATCATAGATATTTTTATTCAAAGTAAATACTGCACAAATGTTTAAAGACAGATTCAATTTGTTGATTGGATAATGAAAAGTATAAATTAATTTAGCTTAGAAAAAAAAATTATATTATTATAAGCTACTCATGGCAAGTGCTTCCTAATTTTTTATAAACACAAACTATGCATTTAATAAGCTTTAAAATTATTTGTATATGATTATACATGAAACTAAATGGTTATAATTGAATTTTTAATTTAAAATGTTAATTTAATAGTGCAAAATTAGGAAACTTTATCCCAGGCCAGTAATAACATTTACAATGGCTACCTTTTTTTTAAAAGGATGTGGTCACTTTTTTAGAAATTGAATATTTTAAATAATTAAAAAGACTGCCAGTATTGTAAATATTCTGAAGCATTTAAAAAAAAATATGATAAACATTACAAGATTTATCTCTAAAATGAAGAAAAATTTTAAGAAGGAAGAATAAAATAAAGTTACTTTCAGAATGTTATAAAATATTAATAATAATCCCATATATTTATTCAAAAAGTAATTCTAATAAAATGCACAGGGTTGTATTTTCCACCAAAAAGAAAAACAACAATTGGCAAATAATTACTTAACCGCTATTCATCATATTTAGTTGCCTTGCAGCAATCTTTCGTTTTGTTCTATATTTGACAACTACTGGAAAATTGCAATTTAAAAGTATCACATTTATTTACTTTTCATTTACTTATTTGTCTGTTTTGGACAACAAATAATCATTAACATGCATCTCTCTCTCATTATTTCTCTTGCGGTTATCTATAATAACAATGACTTTAAAAAAAAATTCACAATGTTTAGAATATATTTATAAATTATACTGTTAATGAAATATTTTAAAAAATTATACTGTGTGTGACATATTTTCCACTTAAATCAATATTTTTTTCAACAAATCAAGTGATATAAATTTTGATGTTAAAAAAATTATAGTTCTTATTTAATAGTCTTCAGAATAAAAAAAATAATAAGTTTTAGCAACTGGATCAACAGTCTTAAGCAATTTGCTAAAAATAAATAAAAAATAGGCAATAATGGTAACAAACGATTTTTAAGTCTTAAATTCAAAGAAAATTGAAGATACATTTTTCATTTTTCTTTAAATTAAAAAAATATAACATTTCTTATGGTAAAATTTTTTCGTGTGTCTATTTCAAGTTATACAATGATTGCTTTTGTGTACAATAATTTTTAAAATATCCACATGTATCACCAAGCTCATAATTTTTTATTTCTAGTTAGGCTCCAAAAGATGTCATTTTAATAAAAAACCACTAATATATAGATAGAATAAAACATATAGAAAACCGAAGTAATACTTCTATATTTTAATAGAAACAAATTGAAAGTCATATACATTATTATAGTAAATCAATAAAAAAAATTCTTTTCTCCTATTATAATATAGAAGGAATGCAATAAATATTATTATTACTGATACATTTATGAAAAATTGCTTTTTTACATTAAATGCTACAGTAAAAGTCTGTACAGCTTAAAAATTATTTATTTTAAGAGAGGTAGTATTCATTGTGATGTTTTCCAAAGTCTAGCTTCACAATTATGCTTCTGGGATCCCTACGATTTTTCCTACATGATATTTTGCATGGAACAACTTCTCCTGAAAGAAATTTAATAAAAGATAGTATCTTGTAATTCCAGTTTAAATTTTTTACATAATTGGTTATTGTCAAAAAAAGAGTTCAGATTGAATAAAAGATTTCGCAAAGGTCCTGTTGTCAGATAAAATTGTGCCTTTCAATAAATATGATTTTAATAATTGTTGTGAGTTCGTAAGTTATTTATGACTATCAGGTTAAGTTTTGTTCATTATTTGCCAGCAGCAATCATTTCAATTATAAAAAAATACTTTTTGAAAATAAAAAAAGCATTTTTTTTTAATATTTGAAAAGTTACTCTAATATTGCATCGTTTAAACCAGAGATGGGCAAACTACGGCACGCGGGCCAACTTCATGCACAAAATATTTCCTGAAGATGAGATCAGTTAAGCATATAAAATGTAGATAGTCTGGTGTTTGAAATTTTGTAATTAGCAAGACGCACAACAAATTAAATTGTTATAAGTATTCACAATTAATAACCACTAACATTATAGGTTATGATGATAAAATCAAATTTGAAATGAAAATAAATTTAATACAAAAATTTATAAAATTAAATATTATAAGAAAGTGTACTAATGTTATATTTACACTAAAAAATTTGCATTGAAATTATGTGCTTTTAACAATAAGTAATGATTATTGCTCATTTTAAGTACAACATATAAAATGCATGCTGACCATAAAATGTGCGTCAAGCTCTAGAAAAATGTTTCTGACTAACAGTGTCCAGTCAATTTCACTCCAAAATACTATCTCAAAGGAAAAAAAAAACTTTACAGGCATGTTAATAGTATTTTCGGAGCATTCTAATTTGACACAAATGTATATTTATTCACTAAGTAAAATAAAAATAAACATTTAGATATTTATTGACTAAACATTATTAATCAAGCAAAAAAAAAGGCACACATAGAAATATTTTGTTAATTGTATTACTAACCTTCAATCACATAAACAGGACATGGAAGAAGGAACATTGTTTGTTTCCAATGAGTTGTAGGTGCCTTGGGAGATGTTGAAAGAACAACCTAAATGAAAGCACAAAAGAATTTGGTATACAATCAGGTCTCTCACAACACTATGCATAACTTTTTAATTTATATACTGCTTTATACCTTGTGCGTTAATCCTTTCTCAAAGAAGCAATCAAAATATCCCAGGAGAGCTGTGACTTTACATTCACGAGCCATTTTTAATTCAAAAGTTGAGCTGAAATCTGTATCGCTTACCTCACATTGGGTAAGATCTAATTCCTGTATAAACAAAATTTTAGTTGAGAATTTATAAAGTACAAAGCGAAGTAGATAGATAGGAATATTAAATTGAAATAAATAATAATAAAAAAACTTGTTACATAAAAAAAATTTTCTACAAAAAAATATTCCTTATAATTGATAAAATAACTATAAAAATTTATAAATAATAATAAATATAAATGCATTAAAAAGAAAGAAAAAAACTTTCAGTCAATAATTTCATTAATATAAAATGAATAAAAATTGACACCAGAAAAATATCTTTCAGAAATTTTCAGTTACTTTGATTCTTTCCTGTTTCACGAAAAATTTTTTTGGGGGGGGGGGGGTATTTAAAAATTCCTTGAAATTTTTTGGATGAAATAAGTTCTTGGTAAAGTTCTAGGTATAAGTTCCTGACATAAGTTTTTTCAGCTTTTTGCGATCGCTCTCTTTTTTATAATCATCCCGCATTATTAACGTTTAAATGTCTAGAACATGTATGTGAAATGTAGCGTCAAATATCAGTAACTTATTCCTCAATTTCACATTATACATATTTCTAACATATATCAACCTTAAGACTTTAAAAATCTTGTAGTTTTAAAGCCAAAAAAAAAAAAAAACTGTTTTCGTTTTGCACAAAAGCCTTCAAATGTGTACTTTAAACTAAGTGAAAGTCAGGGTTAAAATGTGGTGAAGAACTTAGTTGAGGTTTCCTTTTTTACATAAGAGATAATTTAGTTAATAAAATTAGAATATCCAGGTCTTGCATAGTAAAAAAAGATTTTATTATACACTATAGAACTTTAAAAAAAAAAGAAGAAGCAATGAACAGCAACTTTATAAATAAACCAAAATTAACTGAGTGGACAAAAATTAGTTTACCAGTTTTTAATTTACACCACTTTTTTTCTTATTTGATTATATTTATTAATCAGAGCACTGCTCAGATGTATCAGTAATGCTAAATATTGTTTCACAACAAAGCTAAAATTGTTAAGTTCATTAATTAATTCAAACAAAATAATCACTGAATAAATTAAATTATAACAATTTTTAATAAAGCTTAATACCCCTATGAATTCAAGGCAAGAAAATTAATAAGTCAGTTAGATATCAAATAAAAATGTTAATTACTTTTAAGAAAACAATTTTCTTAATTATTTAAATACATCAACTACATATTTAATAAATTTGAAAGGCACAAGTATATAAATAAAGATACAACTAAATTTGTATAGCTTATTTTTTTTTAATTGCAGTAGATTAGGGAATTATTTTACATACATCTAATGAAAAATTATAATCTAACTAACTGGTGGTTTAGCTAAAGGGAAAAATTGGGTGAATGTTTCTTCCCTATACACTATTTCCCTATCTAATAATATGGAAAAATTGGTTTTGGTACGAGGAGAAGACCGCAGGTTAAAATATAACCTTTATTGAGCAGCAGCGTCGGTGGGTAAAAAGTTACACTTTCATATTTATTCTCTTTATCCAATCTACTCATTCTTTAAATAAAAACTTTATTAAGAATAATAGTCTTTAAAATACAATCAGAAGCTTAAGTATAAACATAGTTCATACTACATAGATATATTTTTAAATAAAAGATAGTACCGCAAATAGCTACTGTATTTCAATATAACAAATAATACTTAAAAATAAAAATATCAAAAATTTCTGATGTAATAACTCGCCTTCCATAATCAAACTGAAGTTAATTTCAAAATAACAGAAAAACACATTTAAAAATCAAAACATATCAAACCTTGACTACAGCTGGCTCACTACAAGCATACTCTTGTTTCACTTCTTCCACGTTAGCTTCTTTAATGACGTCTTTTTTCATGGCTGACATCTTAAAGCCATAGACGTCATCCCAGAAGTTAACGTACTCCTTATACTTGGCTGCAAAATGAATATTTGAAACACTAAATAAATATTTATTGAATAAATAATAACTTGACTTAACTTTAATGGAGTGACAGTCTTTTGGACTATCACTATTTGCTGCAAAAATTTCACTTAATTTCAAGATTTTATTTAATATATATCTTCCAATGAGAAATTTAAAAGGGAAACAAAATGTTAAAATTATATAAAACTAATAGATACAAACTTAAAAAAATAGTTGTAATACTTTATGTGTGAAACAAATAATGAATATAATTGGTTGTGACTATTTCTCTCTATAATATTTGCAACAGTCACTATTGACTGATTGTCTATTGATCAATAATACGTAAAAATGTACATCTCTTTTGATCAAAGAGATATTAATAACATTTAGGTTTAAATATTCATAATAACAAAAAATAAATATTTTTAATGAGCTTTACTAATTTTAGGAACTTTACTAAAACATAAATCAAAACCAGGAATACAAAAACTAGTAGATATCGGGAAAATTAATTTAACTCCAAAATAATTAGTTTTAACAAGTTTATTTTAAAATTTACTTTTTTTGTGACATTGGTAATTTTAAATGATATTGTGATGTAATATCATAGGTAATTTAAATATTTACTGAGTGTTCCAAAAAATATCATCAATTTAAAAAAGGAATTAAAGAAAAACAGAAGCTTTAAAAAATTTTTTTAGCTTGCAACAATCTGATCAGGAAACTAAGATTTTTTCCAGCTAACTTCCACAATTAATTAAAACCTTTTTCATTAGATGGCACTACTAATAGAAAAAAGAAAACAATATTTTGTGTTGTATTTCAGACCATTAACTTGAAAATTGTGCCATGTTATTGCTGTTTAGAAAAGTCAGACTTATAAATTTTATTTTAAGTTGCAGCGATGCCTGTTTATATATTTTGTAGCAAATTTCAAACAGCGTGAGAAGAAAAGTCTTCAAATTTAGTTTAATTGTGACTTCATACCATTGGTAATTTTTTGAGCACTGTGTACAATACTAATTAAAAACTTACAGTCATGAAAAAAGAGAGAGAGAGAGTGAATGAAGTTTATTTTGGAACAAACATGTCAAAAAAGTAATTGATTCGGATCAAGAGTCGTTTTGAATTATTGACATATTAATAAACAAAAGTTTAATTAGAATTCATGAAGAAAAAAAAATAAATAATAGCAAATCAAACAACATAGTGAATAAAAGATTTCAACCTACCTAAATCACTAACAGCCAGAATAGAAATAGTTGCCCTATCAGGAAACATAGCACCACCAGGAGCTAGAAACTTATTTCTGGCATATATAACACTATCTAACATGCCTTCAAAAAGAAGAAAATATCCCATCCATTCAGATATAATCACATCCACTTTTCCACCCTGAGGCATTGGCATGTCTTCCACACGCCCTTTAAACAAATTAATCACATCATTGTATCCATTTTCACTGAAAAAAAAAGAAAGCTATATTTAATATTTATTACCGAAGCTTCTTACTGTATAAAAATAAATTTGAAAAATAATATTTTATCAAGAACTAAATTAAGTAAAATAAGTATGTTTTTTTAAAAAAAAATTAATAATTGAAGTTTCAAACTACAACTTAGTAGATAAAACTAGTTTTTGAAGAGGGCATCAATTGATAAATAGGTTAATATCTTACCAAGAACTGGGATTCAGCTGGTTGGAAATAAGTATTAAAATTTAGACTAATGTATTGATATCAACATTAATTTCAAAAAAATATACAAGTATTGCTGAAACAGAGTTACTACATTAAAAGCATAATTTTTCATTACAAAAAAATTCACCCTAACCAGAAAATAAATAAATAAATAAAAAAAACCTAAAATTACTAATTTTCTGGAAACTACACTTCAAGCTTTAAAGTTATTCAATAGCATGAAAGCCATGAGTCAAAGAGGGCTGAATTTAGGTATTTATACAGAACCAAGGTTTTCATACAGATATACAAAATCCATTTAAATCTCCTTTCTTCATGTTAATATTTAAAAGGCTAAAGTATTTAAAAATACAGAAACAAAATTTAAGCTTGCTTTATAGTTTAAAATCCTTTCAGCAATAAAATTCCCTCATCAATTACTTTGCACCCTTAAGATGACGAACAATAACAATACTTTTACGAAAATTTAATTCCATTGAATTATATTCCATTGAAGAATGAACAAAAATTGGTCAAAAATAATATTTGAAAGTTCACTAATTATAATCATTTGTTAAAATTTTAATTACTAAATTTAGTTTATCTCTAAAATAAGATTTAAAAAAGAGATTCATCCAAAAATTTAAAATGATGTCCCCAGTTTATTTGCATAGAAAATAATTTTTTTTTTCTTCACATTTTGTCAGAGTCTTAAGAATATATTTATATATAGAATATATTTATATATACACTGAGTATATGTATATATATATTTTTAGAATGTAAACTTGATTTAGATCCATTGACAAATATTATCCAAATATGAGTATAATAATTTATACATATATGATTATTACATAAACATAACAATCATTAAAATCAGATTAAAATATGATTTTTATCAAAATACCATGACTTAGTTTTATTACAAAATATGATTAAAAAAATTACACAAGGTATCTTTCTCATTTTCAAAATTTGAATTAGTTTAGAGATTCATTAATTGACATTTATGGTCATTTTAGCACACTTTCAGAAAATAAGGGAAAACCAAGCCAAAGACTAACTGTGAAACACATTTTTAAATTGTTTTTTGTTTTTCAAATCTTAATACATACTTAACAATATCGATGGCTTGAAAAATGACCTCGGATTTATCAACGCCCTCTACGTGAACGGCGCCAGCTTTGGCTGCAAACATGGAGAGTATAGAAGTACCACAACCCACATCTAAAACTCTCTTTCCCTTAAACACATCAGGATTGTTTAAAATGGCTTCTTGGTAAGATACAGTACGAACTTTGTCCTAAATAAAAAAAAATACACACATATATAAATAAAATAATAAAAAGATACAGAATAAGTTCAAAAGTTATGATTGATTCATAATGTTTGTCATTAGTTCAACGCATAATGAGCAAAAAAAAAAAAAAAAAAAAAAAAAAAAAANAATAATTTTTGATCTAATGATAGCTGTACTAGAACTTAATCTTCATTAATCGATGGGCTGACTTCAAATATGATAAGTTAGTTCTCATGATAATTTTAAAAATAAGCTATGAAACATAACGTAAGNGAAAAAATCAAAATTCCCTGCATTTTCCCTGTTATTTTAGGTGATTTTTAAATTCCCTGTATTTTCCAGGTTTTCCCTGTTCTCCATGTAGAGTGGCAACCCTGCAAATATAAGTTAGTTCTCATGATAATGTTAAAAATAAGCTACGAAACATAACGTAAGTTACAAAACAAGAGTAAGTAGTAAATATAAGTTGTGATAAATCAGACATAAAAATGCACTTTACTTTCCCTGAATAAAGATACCTTTTCTCAACAGATTGATTCTTAAACGAAACCTGGGAAACATGATCCCAATAGTTTGGTCAAAAAAGCTGTCTTAAGTTTAGACCCCTTAATGTTAATTCCAACTCTTTGCGTATTTTGACATATCTTCAGAACTAAAACTTTTTAACCGAATTAAAAAAAATTCGCCTACAATTATAAATTTTTTTACACAATAATAATTCAATGCAAAAATAACTTTTAGTAATTGTTTATTTGCTTTTACTATTCAATAGTCAAAAAAATTGTGAATTGCTAGGTATACAAATTTTTATATAATATATTTGAAATTATATTTTAAAGAATATAATTTCAAATGGCAAAATAAAAAATTTGAATAAAACCAGCTGAGTAGTGCTTGAGAAATGCAATTCTAAAAGAAGTCAGATATTCAGATTTTTTGAAATATTAATATGTGAAAATAGTTAGTTGCCTAAAAAGAAGCACTCATAGGTGTCCAATATCGATAAGCCTTCTCATAGTGTACCCTAGTAAGTTTTTGTGAAAAATACAACTTATTGGAAGGCAGCCGAAGCTTTAAAGTTTAAGAATATTTCTTTCAAAACTTATTCTCCAATAATGATTTCAATAAATTTGTTTTGTTTTATTTAATTTTTCATCAGCATTGGCACGACAGCCCTTTGTGGGCCTGGGCCTTCCTCAGAAGCTTTTCCCATTCTGCCCTTCTCCCAGCAATTGTTTTCCAGTTCTTTACTTTTAGGATGGCAAAATCCTCATCTACACAGTCCTTCCATCTCTTTTTGGGCCTTCCTCTTGGCCTTTTATTGGAGGGGGTTGCATTAGAGACTCTCAATGCTGTTCGTTCTGGGCTCATTCTCACTACATGCCCGGCCCATCTCATTCTACTTAATTTAATAGATTTAATGATATCATCGCCATCAAAGATCCTATATATTTCAAAATTATATCTTTTCCTCCAGTTGTCGTTATCGAGTATAGGNTTTTTTTTTTTTTTTTTTTTTTTTTAAAAAATTGGCCTTTATTTAGGTAAGAAACGTGCATAACTTTCTTTTTTTAAATACAGATATAGTTACTAATATTGTTACAAATATTTTCCCATATTAAAATTTATTTCAATCATATTTAATAGGATCAATAATAATTATGCTGAAATACTTAATGTATTGTAAAATTTTACATTTAATTTTGATATGTAAAATTTATGATTAGAAAATATTATAATGAAAATAACCATATTATTTTCCATTGTTAATTTTAATAGCAGAAATATGAAATCCATGGACTACAAGAAAAAATCCTATAAGGAAAAATGATACAAAATTAACCTAATAACTTGATTTGAAAAATAATTAAGAAAACACACAAAAGTTAATAAATAAATAAAAAATTATTTAACATTCTTAATTTTTTATGCCAGAAGGTTTATAAAGAAATAAATTATTAGCTATCCAATTATGACTGAAATTCATGACATTTCAAGAAAGCAACATAAACTCAAAGAACTAAAAAAAACTTAATAAAAATATGAAATTCAACTTCTTGAAGGTTTTAAATAAATAAATGTGAAAATAGTTAGTTACGAAAACAAAAATTAAATTACAAGATAAATAAAGAGATACCTGAAGCATTTCATGGTGAATGGCAAAGTGATCATATGTACTGAAATAATAATCCTCATCCTGGTTGTAAGGTTTTGTATCATAGATGCTGGAAGGCTTATTGATATTATTCACATAAGAACACTGTTGGTTGTTGCACAGCAGAACTGTTTTCGCAGTTTCCCTACAACAATTACACATCTATATGTTATTAACACTTACAAATAAAAGTGCCAGAGAAATAAATTTTTTAACTATCATTTCAATTTAATCTTTTTTCAAGAGATCAGACAATAGAAAAGTACAAAAAATTATTAAAATCAATTGAAAAAAAAGGTTACATTATGATAAAAAAAATTATACATAAGAAGCAGGGAGTTAGTTTAAAATTAATTCAGGAACAATAAATGCAATAAGAAATAAAAACTCACAAAAAGGAATTATGAAAATAAAAAATTTGACTAATTACCAAATAAATAAAATAATAAACTGAGGAATACAAAATAGTTAACTGCTAATAAAGCACATTTATTCACCACTTCTCTTAAAAATAAAACCAACCAAACTCCTGCTTTCCTTTTTTGACGTCATAGTCCGAACTAGCGATACAGGTTCATTTGTTTCCGTAAGATACACTTACAATAAAGTAGAAGTATTAGATATTTTTGAACAATAACATTCATTTATTTGAATTCCCAAGGTGAGAACAATAAAGGTAGTTTAATATATAAAAAAAGGTTATGCTTTAGAAACTGAGCAATCTGTAGTAAATTGCTAACATCATACTTTAAAGTTTGTTTTACTAAATCAATTATAGACAATAGGAATAAATATTGAATGATTAATTTTGTCATGTGATTAAATTATATTGTGCTTATGTAAAAAAAAAAAAAAAATAGTAAAATATGTTTTAAACTTTTTTTTACAACTGACTTGTATTATTAAGCTATAAGTAATTTTGGTTTTTACTATTAATAACTATAAAATAACACAGAGTATTTGAAATGAATATTTTAAACAAGCTTACTAAGTGTCACATAAACATAAAAAAATTTCATATAAGTCATTTAGAAATAAAGTTTCATTTTCAGGGTGCATAGCCAAATTATTCAACAAAAATAAGCACCTTTTAAGCACTTTTCAAGCACTAAAAATATATTTTTAAGCACTTTAAAAAAATATCATTCATTATGCAGGGTAGCAAAGTTTATGACAGTTGACGGTTTTATCCTGTTTTAACCGTCGTGTAAAAAAAAAAAAACTTTTGGCATTGTTTTTGACAATTGTCAAAATTCATGAAATTTTGAATCGTGTAAAATGAATGGCATTTTCATACGCTACAGATTGACAATAAGCCGATTGGGGTTGAATTAATTGTGTAAACATTGAATAGAACAATATGAACCGCGTCTTTTTGCATAATTCGAAGCGAAAATCAACATAGTAAATGAAAAATACCATTTTGAAAAAGGGAAAATTAAGCACTTTTTAAAAACACCCAATGAAAAAAGCTTTTATAAAAAAAAAGCTTTTAAGGGCTTTTAAAAAAACGAAAATCGAAAATAAGCACCTTTAAGCACTTTTTAAAAATGCTATGCACCCTGCATTTTATTACAGGGTGCGTGGCCAAATTATTCAACAAAAAATAAACACCTTTTAAGCACTTTTCAAGCACCCAAAAAATATTTTCAAGCACTTTAAAAAAATATCGTAACTAGGCAGGGTTGGAAAGTTTTTGACATTTGACGGCTTTATCTTGTTTTAACCGTCATGTCAAATAGTTTTGAAATTTTGAATCACGTAAAACGAATGGCGTTTTCATACGCTATAGACTGACAATACGCGGAAATAGATTGGGGTTGAATTAATTGAGAAAACGTTGAATAGAACAATGTGAACTGTGTCATTTTGGATAATTTGAAGTGAAAATCAATATAGTAAAGGGAAAATCTCATATTGAAAAAAGGAAAATTAAGTACTTTTTAAAAACACCCAATGAAAAAAGTACCTTTAAGGGCTTTTAAAAGACAGAAATTGAAAATAAGCACCTTTAAAAAAGCTATGTACCAAGTATTACATGCCAATTGAGGATTAAATTAATATCACTCATTTTTTAAAAATCAATTTTTATCTTCATAATACACATTGCATAACTCAGGCTTCTTAGTGGATGAAAGAAGACATTTTTCAGACCAGTAAACATATTTCAGATTAAAAAAAGGGAAAACAATAAACTAAAAACAGTTAAATTTGTTCCACTTAATTATAATTAGGGCTCACACCAGTTAATGGTCCAAAAAATTAATATGGTAAACAAACCTGAGAAAAAAAAATCAAACTTTACAATTGCATGGATTTACGTTATGGTTCACATAAAGAGTTTTTAATTGCCATATATTACACCCTAAAACGAATTAGGCTCATTACCTCAAAATGACAAAAGCTAAGAATTTATTAAAATTAAATGAAAAAAAAAAGTTTAATATTAGTAAATACAACATAATAGATTAAAATCAGCTGACAACAACTAAATAAATAAATGACGAAAACAGAGAAAGTCAAAACTAACAAAATATTATATCAAAAATTATCTAAAAATTCTAAATAAAATAAATTTTAAAAGAGCGAAAAATTGTTTTATTGGTAAACAATTAAACAGTCAGCATATGAAAAAATACCCAATTTTATGATGCCACATATGAGAAATATACATTATAATTGTTAGCCTCATATATCAATAAATGGCACAATAAAAGTTTAAAAATAACAGTTATTCCATTCAAAAAATTTTAAAACTAAAACCTAACCAGCGTGTGGAATAAAATTGGTAAATTTTTTTTTTTTTTTAAATGCATGGATTTTGATGCAAAAAAAACTTTTTTGTAACTTCTAAACATATCTCCAGGCAACAATACTGTCGCCCATGCATATGATTTTAGCAACATTCGTAGAACATGTGGAAACAATTTTCGGGATATCACCATACTGGTTAGAACCCTATGTATAAGTTAAATTTTATAGTAAAAGAATAATTAAATAAACTACATATTTTTAATTTCATAATTATATTGCCTTGAACAGTAAGTTTTAACAATTTCCAATATAATTTTATGTACAGTTCATTGAAATCAATTTCAAAATAATGTTGATTACAGCAGAAAGTTTTAACAATTTTATGTGCAATTGCTGAAATCCATCAATTTTAAAATCAGAAGAAATTAATTATTGTAAAATTATAAAACAAAACACCTCCTTTTAAGATTTGTTACTGCATTTGATGAAAATAATATACGAGTGCATTGATGCTTCAATACATCACCATAATAAAAAATATTAACTGATTTCCTTAATCATAAAATGATTGATTTCTGCTAAAAGATGCAGACAAAAAATCAAGAAAAGTAATGCTATATGCATGACAATGTAATAAATCAGTGAATGGTATAAACAATTTTTACTAGCATTTCTTTCTTTTTTTTTTAAAATGTAGAATCAAATATCCAATTATTTTGTTTCTTAAATGAATCTTTTTCAAATTGCTGTTAGTATTTGTATAAAATGTGATACTCTGAAAACACAAAGAAATCATGAATTTCAGAAAAAAATATTTTTCATCAGGAGAATCAGTGCATAACTTAAACTATAACCTGGAATTTAAAAAAAAAATATTTAAATAAAATTATACAAAATAAACTTCAGTGTTTGAATTAGTATTCAAATCAATGCATTTGTATTATCAAGCAGAAGTTGGAGATGCCTCTTATTGTGCAAAAATATTAAAGAGAAACTCAATCCAAAATAAGGTGGAGAATTATTTTGAACATAATTTTAGAAAAAAATTCGCTCACTTCATTCGATCAATTCGCTCATTAGCTATCTTTAGTCTAATTTTATTCTGTGACAACTCATCCAAAATAGCTTCAAATCGTGATTGGGGAATGGTAATCATCTCATCTTTGAATTTTCTCTCAGCTAGTTTTTCCTGTAAATAGCTCTCGAAGTCTATAAAAGAAAAGTCACATACGTTAATTATTGCTTCAAATTTAAATAAAAGTATCCAATCATATTTTCAGCTTTACATTCTACATCTACAGTGTAAGGATTCGCAAACAGTTTGTGCTGGTTGTCAAAAGAACAGCCAAACAAATTGTGATTGCAAAACAGTACAGTTTTAGTTAGAGAAGAAATTGACACAATCAACTAGAATTTTACACGCAATGTCATACCAATTAACTGAAAAACTTTAAAAACAGAACATTATTTTCAATTCAGTAATAGGTAAAATAAATAACATGTAATACTAAAAAACACAACTTAAGAAAAAAATTCTAAAAATTAGGGATCACTTAGCAACAGGAACAATACTAAATATTAACCTGACAAATAATGAACTTAATTTTTAATAAACAAATTTAAAAAAAAAAAAAAAAAACAGAGTTCTCACTGGGAATAAAAAGGGGTGCTTTCTCACAGAAAAGGGCACTCACTCAACGCCGTAAAAATTTATCAAATGTGTAATATTAAGAAATAACTGAATAATTGATCCTCAACAACCTTTAAATTATCCTCTTATACTAATTAAAGTGTGTATTTCAAAATGTAATGTTCACTCATTATCAAAATAAGAAAAAAATTTGCAGTTTATTAAAAATAATTAAAGACATCCTAAAAAACAATCATTGAGCACAAATTTTAACCAAATAAACTGAAAAATTATTAAATGATAAATGTTTGGAAAACTCTTTTCTATAATATAAACAGAAATTATGAGACAATGAACATTTAAAGGTGCATATTAAAAAAAAAAGGGCATTTAAATAGGTAAAGATATTAAAAATTCATTAATAATATAACCACCACTCCCTTCCCAAAAAAAAGAGAAACTTATGAAAATTTAACCAGTTAAGAATAATACTAACAAAATAAATATTTGTAATAGTAATCAGAATTAAACAAATAAACATAGATAATTTTACCAGTGTGTAATTACTATTATTTAAAGATTAGCAATGTTTAAAGCAAAACAACAAACAGAAAAGGAATAGTCAATATCTAATATTTAAAATGAAAAAATAAAAGTTGCTAACTCTTTTAGTCTCTTATTTACTTATATATTTTTAATATCTTTTTTTTTCTCAGTGAGCAAGTATTATTAAAAAATGTAGCATATTGAAAACATTTAACATAAAAGTAAAACATTTTCTTAGAATATTTCAATTACTTGTATTTATTATATTACTTCTATATAAATATCAATATTTTTAATGTTAAGTCTTAGTATTTTTAATGTGAACTGTCAAAAAACTGAAAACTAACGAAGGACATAAATTTTTAATTTAAAAAGGAATAAAATACGGAAATTAGGAAGTAAAATATGAAAAGTTGATAGCGAAAATGGAAGGAATTGCAAATAAATTTTGAGAATATAAATTCAACTTGAAAAATAAAGAATGTTAGTTGTTAACTGGGACCAATATCTCCATCATAATTCTAATGCCTATTAATGTGAATATTTTTAAGACAATCTATTTTTGTGAATAACTTAGCACAATCTAAAAAGTACAATTTCATCTAAATTGTATTTTAAATATGAAATTAAAGAATTTATACATACCAGTAATCTCCCCTAATCATTTTTAGAAGGGGGGCCCATACTAGCTGCAGTTCTCTATTTGCACCCTCTTTGACCTTTTAATAAAAATAAGCCGCCACCCCTTTAAAACATTGCCTTTTTATTCATATTCCATTTTTAAAAAAATTTAATTCAATATTTAGAATTTAATTCACAGTAGTAAAACTATCTGTGTTTATAGGTTTAATTAAGATTACTATTACAGGGTGCGTAGCCGAATCTTTAAATCAAAAATAAGCACTTATTAAAAACTTTTCAAGCACTTTACAAAAATTTTCAAGCACTCAAAAAATTCATATTCAATGAATGATATTATTGAAAAACAAAAACTTTTTTATAAAGAGTTTTAGCGTTAAAAAAAAACCCAAAAAGAAACGGACGTAAATCAAAACAATCAGTACTTTCCCACATCACCGAGTGAATTCAACTTGACCCTGAACTCAGAACAAAAGTACCCTTACCCCCTACGTCAAAAAAGTGTTAGAAGTAAAATAAAATAAACAAGAATAAAATTAAATTAAATTAAAAAGAAAAACATTTCATAAGGATCTGATATTCTCTATCCGAATTGGAGCACTCGGGTTTCGATTTTAAGTGTGCGCGCATGCGCAAGTCATAACGTAGGTACGACATGAAGTCCGCGTGAATGATTACGTAAAATGCATGGCATTCACCAGATATCACTGAAGAAAAAAAAAATTTGTGGAAAAAAAGCACTTTTTAAAAACACCAGCTGAAAAAAGCACCTTTAAAAGCTTTTAAAAACGAAATCCCCAAAAAAGCACCTTTAAGTACTTTTTACAAACGCTACGCACCCTGTATTACAGATACGTATTTTGTCAGGATTATTCTCAATTGTTTACATTTTTATAAGTTGAATTTTTTTCGGAGGTATATGGATGAATTTTTTAAATGGTTTTAAATTTTGAAATTATTTTTCAAATGCTTTTTTTTTAAGAAACAAAAAGGGCATCTTTAAATATTTATTTTCTTATAATTTTCAGTTCAAGTAATAGAAAAATCTTTCAAATTGATTGTCAATAAGCATTTCTCTTTTAGTTTACTCTTCTTTGAAAAAAATTTGTGCGCAGAGATTGTCTTTTAGCATGATTTTAATTTTTTCTTATAAACTACAAATTTTTCTCTTGATAATGAGTGCGAATTACTTTTTGAAATATACACATAAAATAGAATAAGAGGGTAATTTAAAAATTGAGGAAGTGCCCTGCCCTTTTTTATTCTTAGGAAGAACTCCGTATATAACACGATTTAACAGAAAATTAGTTTTAAAAAGGCATCAGACGATGCTACATATAATTTCATGTTAAAATTTTTTAAGTTAAGACATATTTAAAATTAAATTACGATGTTAAAATCATTGAAAATATGAAATAACATAAGGATAATTTATTATTACTGTATTAAGTAATTTTTTAGGGAGAAACAGAGTGCGAATGCTGCCCTCGAATTGTCAATTAGCAGTTTCCCACCTTCTAATTAAAAATTAGCTGGGGAGCCCTGCATACATATTTTTCTTCAAGCTAATTACAATAAAATTAAAAAAATAAATAAATTATGAGTAAAAATTGCAAAATATAGAAATAATACTGAAAAAAAAAGGTATAATATTTTCTAGACATTTTCTTTGAAGAAAATATTAACCAAAACATTCAAAATAAATAAAGTTCAATTTCAAAATATGTAAATATTTTATACAGTGTGAGAAAATAACAAAACAATTTTACAGAGAAAGTTAAAAAACTGATAAAACTTGATTTCATTTAAGTAAAAGGTCCAAAATTTTAAAATTTTTTTACTTCAAAAAATATAAAACATATACTTTGACTTTCAATTTGTGAGACAAGTTTATATTGTTCTTATTACACCTGATAATAATTAAGTTATTTTGTAGCTTTCTTTTTCAAAAAAAAAGGTATTTCACCGATTGGGAATTTGGTTTGATGTGTTTCAGGAGTAAAATCAAAATGCGCAAGTTCCTGTTAAATAAGAAATTTTTAGTATTTAAATGTGAATTGGTTGAATACTAGATATTTATTAGACCATACAAATTTAAAGATGGCTTAAATATTTTTACATCTATTCATAATTTAACAATAGCATTAAAAAGCAATTTTTCAGGTCATCTTTTAAGCTTAATGGCATTATGCCTTTCCTGTTTTCTTAAACAATATCTGAAAACAAATGTAAGCAATGTTTTAAAGCTACAAACACAAATGAAGAGAATTTATTTACCAAATGTAAGCAGTGGATCAGATATGTTAAAAGGCTTCATATATTCATCATTATTCCAGGGACAATTCTCTTTGTTTACACTTCTCATTTCAGAGGATGACATTCTCTACAAACAACCAAAATAAAATATGAATTTAGTAAAAAATAGCTTCATAGAATTTTAGTTAATATGAGAAAAATATAAATATTAAAACAAAGTAAAGCAAATTTTAAAAACTATTTTTATAAAATTGATTTAAAAAAATTATGATTTCATTTATTACAAAAGCTAAAACTGATTAAATTTCATTTGTGCTCATTAACAGTTTTAAATCAAATTTATTTTGCTGTTTAATAGCTTTCTTGGTATTGCTAATACCTATTCTACTTGAAAGATATCACTAGTCTAAGTATTTTCACAGGTTTACTTACATGCCCTTATTAGAGGTTTTTAACCCTCTAAGTGTTGAGCCCCCAGGTAAAATTGTATGGAAACTTCTCTGCTACACATATCTCATCCCTTGAATAACATGGAGGAAAATGGGTTTTTTAATGCAGAGAAGCTTGCGGTTAAAATTTCAGAAAAAGTCGGAACTAAGGCTCAGAGGGTTAAGGATAAATTAATAAATTGAATTTAAAGGGAAAACTACAATACAAAGAAGATGTAATGTAACAAGTATGATGAAATATTTTATTTTGAGACAAAACAGAGACCAGGGCATAAAACTCAAAACAGCAAACCTTTTACCGTGATTGCTGATTAAAGTCAAATTTCAGTTGTCTCAAACCAACCGTTACTCAAATTATTTTTATATTTAAGAATTTTATAAATGTTTATTTATTATAATTAGAGATCTCTTAAAAAATAATATAAACCTAGTATATAAAGGTATTTTACAACTTTGGAGAGCAAGGATAATAAATTAAGGAATTTTTACATGTAGGTGTACATTTGCTTGCTTAATAAATTTAATGCACTTATTTAAAACGTTCTTAATTATAAAAATTTTAAAAGTAATAACAATAAATTTATTTAATTGGCATAATGGAATGAATATTAAAATTTAGCTTTTGAAAATCAAAATGATCAATAAACTGTAACTAAAAATATTATTCTGCAGTTAATGTTAGACTGCTTAATCATAAATACTTACATGAGCTCGAATATAATTTATGAATTTGATGTATGTTATGCAGTTCATTTCTACAGATCGACTGAAACCAACAATGTCAAACATGTGCTGAGACCTACAATGTTCAAACATTAGTTCGATCTGGTTAAAAACTTCACTACAGAAGAGGCAAAGAGTGGGAGCTGAGAAAGTAACTTCTTCTTCTCCAACATATTGCAATTCATCATCTTCATCACTGCCGGAATAGCTACCATCTTCCGCATCTTTTAATGTGCTATCTGAAATGATAAATGAATGATCTCATAAGTAGAACAAAAATGTAACCATAAATACTGATAGCAAATTTATATATATATACATATAAAAAAAAAACGTTTAAAAAAAAATTTTTTTTTTGCGTTAAAGTGTAAAATTAGCATTTTAAAACTATTTCTTAAGTTAAAAGGCTATCACCAAATGGTAGTAAACAAACATAAAATTATAAAATGGAAATAAAGTAAAAAATTATTCATTTTATGGTTTAATCAAAATTATAGATATGTTGTGAGAATATTCTATTTGAAATGTTAAATGAATAATCTCATACGTAGAACAAAAATGTTTAATGAGATGTTCATGGAAAGAGAGAATATTTCTCTTAAGTCAAAATTTGAAGAATAATTGAGAATTTTCCCTTCTTATATAATTATACATGAAAAAATAATTATTTTTCCTTTATCATCATAAAATGTTGTTTATTTATCTGTGTTGAAAACATTTAAATTATAAAGGAAATATACACAAAATATAAGTTAATTCTTCATTTTCAGAAGCCTATATGCAACACTTTATATGCATAAACCTAACAAACTATAAAAACATTTATACACTTGCACAATTAATAGACATATTTACATAACATACATTTTCGTTTATTGGGCACAGTTAGCCTTTTCGTAGGATGTATACAGTTTTCACTCATTTCCTTATTTTAGTCTATTCAGGCATCTGAAATACATCCATATAATAGTAAATAATTATATTTTTATATCTCTTTAAAGGGTTTAAGACTACAAACTATCAATAACTATAAAAAAATTTTAGGAAAGATTTATGATATATATAGGTCTACAAAAAGAAAAACAAAGGTTGATGCTATTACTAAACTGAAATTATTAGTAATAAATAAAATTAAAATTATTACTAATAAATATTATTTTTGTAAAATATACTGTTTGAAATATATTTATTTTTGGAATAAGAAATAGAAATCTTTATTGTAGTTATAATTTTTTTAAAGTAAAGTATTTAACACACAATAAAATGTTAAAATAATTTAGAAAAATTATGCCTCATTACACATGTTTAAATTTCAATTTTAGAAACATATAAATTGAATCTTAGAAATATAGCTACATTAACACAGATATATTAAAATATTTTAAAAATTTATGATTCACCATGTAAGTTAATTTAGAATTTAACTTTTAAAAATACCTATATATTAAAATAATTTTTTAAAAATATTTTAGGTATGTTTAAATATTTAGATAATAAATATTATCTTTATATTCGAAATTCGTGTTCTCAGAAATAAAAATTAACACACACAATTTGCTAAAATATTTTAGAGAAATTAAGTTCTCTAATGTGAGTTAAAATTCATGAAATGGAATTTTTGTAATTTAACATTAGCATATAATATGCATAAATATTTCGCAAAAATTATGCTTCACCTTGTGTACTTAAAATTTAAATTTTAGAAACATACAATGACACACAATAATTTGTAAAATATTTTTAAAAAATTATGTTATAGTATGGAAAAATATGATTAGATTATACATTTAGAGAGAGACAGTTTGCTCATATATTTAATAAATTAATGTTTAATTACATATGTTTAAAATTTGCTCATTTAAATTTAAATACTTCTAAGACACTAAATAATTCTTTTGCTGTTTTACTGAAATATCACCATTTAATTTAGATTTTAAAAATAATACTTATTTGGACACAATACTTATCTGGAATTTTAATTATATTTTAATGGAAATATGACTTTAACTTAAAAATAAGTAAATAAAAATAATGTTTAGAAAAATTGATTAAAAAACTATTGCAAATTCAAATCATTAAGTTCTATTTCGAGATGAAAAGTACAAAATGAATAACTGTAAAGCAACTAAGCAATTTATTTTTGGGGAAAAAAAAGATAATTACAGATTTTAAAAAAAAAATCGAAAATTAAAAACTTTTATGAATTTGGATATTTTTTAATGAGTTTTGATAAACTTACTCGATTATAGGTTCATACAATTTGTTAATTTTAAATGCAACTCAGCGTTTATTTTTTTTTTTAAATCAAACCTTGATGCCTAATTGTATTTTGCGAGGAAAAAAGACAAGTAACTACCACTATTTAAATGTATCCAAAAAATTTCACATAAATCAACAATTTTTATTACTAATCAGCTGTATTATTTCTTAAAGAGAAATACGCATGTTAGACTAAACGTTTTTCCGCCTTCAAAATAAAGTATTGAAATTAATATTCAAATAAAAAAGAATTAGAATAAGATTAAATTCCAAATCTTTTGAAATAATATAAACACTTAAATAATTATCGATTATATCATTTGTAGTAACAATGAATTGTGATGTTTATACTCGAGCGTTATTACCAGCTCTAACACTTGGTTACATTAAAATTGAAAATTATTAGAGAGATAATTACCATTGTTATTTTCTATAGCAGTTTCGGAGTGCGAAATAACAGATTCCATTTTTTAAAAGTGTTGAAAAAGAATGTTTTTACTTAAAATTTACAAAGCTTTATGCATGTGTTTAATAACCGGTTCGACAATTTTCATAATTCAATATGCTTCCTGCTACTTATTTCTTCTTCATCCTACCTCACTGTACTCAATAAATATTAGTCTCAATATTGCGATGCAGGTTCAAGTAAATCAAACACTTCTTTTGCGTAACCATTCTCACCGTATATGGTTATCAAACCTTTATAAGAGAGTAAGAGAACTTGATTGGAGAAATTTACATTGGAAATATGTTTTAACTAATCAGTCACTCGCATGCAATCGGTGGTGGTTAAAGCTGCGTGAATCGCCTTTAGTAAAAATAGACCTTAAATATTTTCGTGCTCTTGGGCTGAACAACAAATCACGACTGAGTGAATTAGGGCACTGCCCCCATTATTTTCGATCCTCGTTTAGAGAGAGGGAGAACCTTATTTGTGAAAAATATTTTCCAATAAAAAATCCATCAAACAAAATCCCCTTTTTTTCGTTGCGGTAATCGGAAGTGTGTGATTCGCATTAAGTAAAATTGTCCCTTCAGAGAACATTCTCAATGGATGAGAGTTTTTTGTGCATGCGAATGAAAACTAAAACTGAACTGTACTTTCTGCACTTTATTTACGTAGCATGAGAGCTGCACAATGGGCTATTGGTGACGGTATGGTAAATATCCCTGAAGATGATCCGAAGACTTGCAATCGCAATTTCGATCCTCTGCATACGAATGCTTTGGTAGCCCCCGGCGACCTGAATGCAAAGTCGAGCACTTTGCGTTCGAACAATTTAACGAGAACCGATGCCGCGCATCCTCGATCCCTAAGCAGGCTGTTCAAAGTGATCACCTACCCGCTTACTGACCGCAGGCGGGGACGCTTGACTTTGGTGTTCTACTGGACACCGTGTTTTCACGATCTATCCACTGCGGGACGAATGAAAACCAGATTAGTGAAAACTATTTACCTGAAAAAAGCTCGGTAATCTGGTTCCCGTTTGCATTTGACTTCACTCTCGTCTTTTATTCTATCTTGTTTTTTTTTCTGGCCAATAGGCTAGCGAGCGTATGTTCACTTGTTAACTGTCAGAAAGTATTCAGACGTAATGTGGTTGTCGCACCTACGATCATCGTCGAACAATAAAAGGAAAGTGATTTCTGAAGCGGATTGTGGATTCTTTTAGGAATCCGCAATTAAAATATAGAAAGAAAAATATAATCCTTAAATGGCTACAACATATAAAGGAGTGGTAGTAAATTTAATGATTTGACATTTTATTATTAGTTTAATAAATTTAATATAGAATAATTTCGTCCACCATTGCATATGAACAGCTTAAATATCTATTAATGATGCAGGAAAGATTTTGAATGAGGACAAAATTAAACAAATTAAGTTTATCTTAAATTGCTTTTCGGCTACCGTTTTAAATATTATGGGAAGCTAGAGCTTCTAGGTTGGCAATTGCGTATTTTTCTTGATGAGACAGATATACTTTGCCCCTTTGTTGCTTGAAAATTAGTGGTTGCTAAAAACTGGTGAACAATTAGAAGCAAATAGTTTTACATTTTTAGTGTTTTGTAATATTTTCGGACTAAGCGATGCCAGACTAGCAATACTGCTCTGTAAAGAGTTAAAAAAAAGTGGAAAAACTAATTTAAATAGTATCACAGAGATGCCGATCCGGAAGCGATTTTCCCATCCAGCGACATTTAACGACGCGCTCTCTTGCTTGGGATTTTCTTAACTACTTGACTTTTTTTAGTCCAAGTAACAAGTTTCAAAATAAATAAAAGCTTGCATCGTAATTGCGACAAGCTACAACCAAAAGAAAAAACTTCAACGAAAAGAGCAAGTCGTTAAAGGCCACTGGAATGTAAATTAGCAACCCAGAAGTCCAAGCGCCCTATGATATTAAAAGTGGTAACGAAAGAATAGTTAAGGCAAACTTAATTTGTTTAATGCTGTAAGCACCTAAGTCCTAAGTTTAATGCTGTAAGCACCTAAGAAAATCTTCCGTTGTTACACTGACATCAAGGGGACTCTAACTCATTATACATCCACTACTGATGATACTTTTGCGTCAGCATTGTAATCGGTGCGAACCGAGGCGGTATTTGCATCGACCAGCCATTGTTGGAATTCGAACCCGTCTTACCTCAATGGGAGGCGAACGCTTTATTCCCTAAGCCACCACGGCTCAGAACCAAACGTTTATTTACAAGTAACAAAATTTTTTTATAAAAACTTTATCCTGAGTTCAAGCGTACCCGTAAACTTTTTTTCAGTAACTGAGCCTATCTCATCACTAGTAGACAGCCAGAACTGATAAAAGATGGTTCGATTAAGCTACTCAGCACAAATATTGCTCTAAAATGTAGACATTAATCAGACACGACGCACACTTATTGTGGGTTATACTCATGGTTTAATAATCTTTATTATATAAAACGCTAATACGTACGTATGTATGTATGTATGTATGTATGTATTGCAGTATCCTCACTGCTGAGTCAAACTCAAAAACGACAACTGCCCCCTGATGCAGTTGTGAGATTGAGACTGCTAGACTTCGGGTCTAAACCTGTAGTATCAATAAAACCGATGATATTTCTTTTCTCGCGCTGGCAACACTTTTCATTTTTAATTGATTGGATTCGGCGCGCAAGAGCACGTGGTGAGCAACCAGATAACAATAACCAGAGTGAGCATTATCAGGTTGTTCAATTCAGATTCATGCACTAAAAACATGACAATATTTAATTTAAACTCAATTAGGAATTAATTAATTAATTGAAGTGAGAATGCTTTAAAAGGCCGCTGTTGAATTGATATTTTTCTACTGGGAGCTACCTAAACGTCTAAAAAACGTTTAAGTGTTTGTATTGAATGCATTGAATTTTTTTATATTTCGCGTTTATTTATGCATTGAATTTTCACGCTTTAAAATGCAGAATATTAGTGAAGCAATATTTGATAATTTATTTTGCTAATATGTTTCTTATTTAGCTAATGTTTTGATTTTTTCACCATGTACAATCTAAATAGCTAATATACTTTTTTAAAAGCCAATAAGAACATTGGTAGAATTCTTCTACATAAGTACAATACTATGTCTTTGATGATAAAATACTATGTCTTTGATGATAATATATTATGTCTTTGTGCTAGAACATTGTGTTCATTGGCGAGCGAGCGCAGCGAGCCATGGTTCACGGCGTGAACCACAAAGGATTGCGTAGCAATTCTCGGGGGTTGGCGAGCGTTAGCGAGCAGGGGGGTGGAGCCTCCTAGTATTGATATAATCGCTTTCGGGGCAACATGTATAACATAATCACCGAGTTCCATTTACCTGTTGCCCCTTCGAATTCTGACGTAGTCCCTCTCGGATGTTCTTGGTACAAACCTAACGCAGGTATGTTGATGGAATTGGTTCATAGCTCTCTCAATAAGTTCACGTTGTTCAGCTAAAAGGAATGCATTTTAATTCGTATGTTATTGTAAAATAATAAAAAAAATTACTTAAATAATGATAATGTTAAATTTAAAAGCTTAGAAATTATGATAATGTTAAATTTAGAAATAATTATAAATTTAAAAACTTAGAAATAATGATAACATAAAAAAGCACGCTTGTTTTTTTTAAAACCTGATGTACTTAGTACTTATTTTTCTGCCTTAAAAAAACTCAAAACGTAAAAAGTGGTGAGAGTTATTTTGTTACTGGCATAAATTTAAGAAATAAGAGATAACCTATGCCCACTAGAATACATTAATAACTTTAAAATTCGCTTTTATTTTTATAATGAATATTTTAAACATTAGCCACTTTTCTCAAATTGGCACAATTATGCCGGTTCGGTCGTAAAGCGTTAAGAAGTTTTGTTAGTTTTAACTGTCCTTTATTTTAAAATCACAATATTTTCTAACGTCGGTTTTTTTATATTTAGCAATGTCGTGAAAAGTGTTATTTTAAAAAAATGAGTGGTAAATAAATGTCGTTGAAAATAAGAGACTATTTCCTTTCGTTAACTACCAATCAAGTATGAAAGTAATCAAAATTCTGCGATTATATACATAAAATTCGAGGTTTAATATAAGAAATATATTAAACATATATATAAAGTTGTGTAATTTTCGAACAGTGGCATTCTTGCTTGCTAAACTCTCTCTCTAATGATAGCAGATTAAAAAGTTTTTTAATTCCAATTATAGAGAAAAAAAGTGCAGTAGTTGAAAAAAAAAATATTTAGCGTTCATTTTTGATAGCTATATTTATTTCCAAGAAATAGTTAAAAAATCAGAATGCCAATATTATTCATAAATTTTGATTAATTTTGTCATAGATAATTAATTTCAATGCAGAACTAACAAAATAAAAAGTGAAGCACCGTCGTTACAGCCAGTTGAAGATAGTTTATGTATGTATTAGAGACAGAACTTGGAAAATTGACTAAGATTGAAATTGAATTATTAGGTGGATCGAAACAAAGTGTCCCGGAAAATAGAATCCCCCGGAAAGGATATATTAAAGTCAAATTCAATGGTAATTTATTAATTTAAATGAAATGAACTTCAACTTAGAAAGGAATCTGAATTTTTTATTCAAAGTTAATTGTTTTGAATTCCATGATTTATTAATTTAATTATTTTACTATTTTTCTCCTGTTTAATTTGCAAAAAAAAATATTTCACAGTCAAATAATAATTAATTTTCTCAGAATTTGCCCCAGAGGTACTACTCTTCGCAGAAGTACTCGTATTCAGAATGAATGTGATTTTACCAGTAAGTATTGTTGCTTTGGAATGCAGCAATAGAAAAAGTAGATAAGAAACCATTCATTTGAGAGTTAGTCAGGGTGTGGTTATTCAAGTAAGTGAACAATCCGTATTCGGCATTGATGAATGGGCAACATATGCACATATGCACTTAAGAATGAACTGCTCTGAAATGTAAGGGGGTTAGTCTTATGAATGCAAGGCTTTCCTCAAGGAAAGAAATATAGTTTAGTGCATTTAGAGGAGTAGGTGTTTAAAACTGTGAAGATGGAAAGTTATTCCATTGGAAATGATAATGGTAAGTACTTATACCCAGTCTATATATAGTAAAATTATTATAAAATACTAATAAATAATTTTTAATGTGTAGATTTATTTTCGGTAATAAAATTTATTGAATTTGAATGTGAATTAGATACGTATTGTCTTATTTACCTTTGAAAAAGATCATTTTTCGTACTTTTTTAAGCTTTTTTTTTTCTCTATAAATCGGAAATGCTGTTTCTCCCAATGAGGTAAGTTCGAGTCCCAGCTGCGGCTGGTTGATACGAATTCTGCTCCTTGATCGCACCAACCACACTGCTGATATAAAATATCCTGAGTGGCAGACGGATCAGAATCAATTTCTAAATCGTGCTATCCAGGCGAGGTTATCGTGATTCTCCTCGCCATGTAACGCACATGTGGATTAGTTACAAAGTTAGAAGGCAATGGCGCATAACATCACTCTTTTTTAAACTAAAAGTACCATAACTAATAACCTTTAAAGTTATACGTGTGAACATTAAGATGTTAGGAGCTAAGTATTTAAAATAGTATTCAATATATATATNATTCAATATAATTTTATTAAATTTATATATATATATATATATATATATATATATATATTATAGAAGTCTTAGCTATCAGAGGGAAAATTTTCTAAGAATGAAAGACGGGAAAGAGCTTTACCTTGACTATCCACCATTTCATGAATAGCTTAGCTTGTTCAGCGAATTGAAATGGATTTATGTAGTGTTTCTGCAATTTTAAATAAACTATGGAATATTAAATAAAATCAGAGCATTTTTCCTAAACATTGGAAGCCGATATTACATTAAAGAAATATTTGCAAATTTTTAAGAATTTGTAGCTCAAATCTAATTTTTCATTAGAGTAAAATTATTACGTCAATTAAATGTAACGATCATAATGTTATTATTATTATGATTAATAATTTTAAACTGTATAATTTATCATCTGTGTCAATGAGATTTGAAAATGCAACACATATAAGAATTTAACATAATATAGTAATTGCACCGTAAAAACATCGTTATAAATTTTTTTCAAGATTTTATGTGATTATGATTGAAACTATTTCTATGTTTTGATATTTCAAGCCGTGATACAGACTTGCGAGACAAAATAACTAAATTAAATTCATGTGTCATGTTCAGTACAGAACTGAGAAATCATTCAATAGGTTTTAATAGTATTAACAAAATATTTTTACGGCAATTGTATTTATTATTATGAAGCACAACATTGTTAAATGCGGTTTTAAAATTAACTCTCTTTTTTTTTCTCAAACCCAAAAGTTTTTTCTTACTTTTTCAAAAATCTTGATCCTGAAGCTTTTCCTTTTGAAACTTAGTTGTTCTTTTCCGCAAATAAATTTTTCGACAATTTATTAGCTTTCAGAAAAATCACCTTTTACTAAAATAAATTAATTATAGTTAGTTGGTTTATGTCATACGAAATGAAGGAATGTAAATCAGCTTGCTCCAAACAATTTTTTAAATTTAAATGAAATTATATTTTATACAGAAAGAAAAAAAAATGTGCACAGAAACCTTTTTTTACACAAAAAATATCTCATAAACAACGCCCGTAAACTACATTTTTAAAATTCTTTCAAAAGTAAAGTTGAACTATTAGTTATATTAGATGTCGCAAAATAACATTGAAGCGAGGAAGAATATAATAAAAACTGGATCAATAATTTATGAGGTAGGAGACATTCAAAACATTGAAAAAAGTTTGAATAACAGAATTAAAAGAAAGTAGTTTAAATCCAATTAGAATTATTTCTCAAGAAATACTTTAGTCGTGTTTAGGTCATGAAATTTCTCATACTTAAAAAAAGTTTCAAAGCTTTCAAAGACCAGCAATGAAATACAAACGAAAACAAGTACTTTTGAGCACCCTATGCCAAAAAATAAAGCAATTAACTTTAATGACAGATTAAAAACAGATTGATGATGGATTGATAGATGAAATAAAAGATTTTAATTTGCATTGATTACTTTGGTTGTTTTTTGCAAATCCTTACATACTTAAGGAATTGTGAAAATTTTAATAAAATAGAAATTTTTTTCTTGCATTTTTTTTGGGCTCTAACTTTGCAAATAATCAACGAAATTTTTGGAACTATTTTCATTTAATATTAAAATGGCTATTTTAAAGTTTATATAACAAATTGTTAAAAATTTCTCAAGATATGAGCTTTTAAGGTAGTTTTTTCACTCTATGCATGTGCGGAATAATTTTAGCAATGTTTTTATATATGTAACATTTCCATCCATTTAACATTTTTATATATTTATACATTAGTCTTTATATTGTGAAAATCCAATCTATAAAATAAAAGTTCTTCAGAGGGATTTCATTTATATTATACGCCTTATAACATGTAAAGAACATTATTCAAAGTTTAGGCGAAACTGCATATTATAAATGAAAACATACTCTATGAGAAATTATATATAT